TACATAGGTTTGACCTATTTCGTTTTCTTGAACATGATCTGACAGTGATGCAGAGCTAGGCATAGAAGTATTTTATTTTAGAATAAAATGGGTTCTTATAAATTGTCAATGAGAATTACATTTCAAATGGTTTAGCAGGAAAGAAGTGTTTCTACACTGAAATAAAAAAATGTGAGATTTGTTGGCCTAGCTTTAAGTCCAGCCATGGGATAAAAAGCAAAGCTCTCTGGAGGCCGAGCCCTCAAAATGGCACCAGGCAGGGCTGGACTCAACAGTAGCAGGGATGCATTCACCACTGGGGCCGCTGCCGTGGGAGTGGCTACAGCAGCGCCCAGAGTCAGGATGCTAAAATGATCCAGGAGAAGACAAAGAAACAGGCTGCGAACTGCAGTATCGTGTTGGCCAAGAAGATCATCATTAAAGACAGAGGCATACTTCAAGGAGTAGGTTCTCCTAGTGTTTATCATGTGGTTATCATCATTTTTGGGGAGTATTTTGCTTGGGGACTATTTATGGCCAGCCTTGGTGGGAACATACATTTCTGATGAATGCCTTAATTCATGGGATAAGGGTTTGTTATGGTTTCTCAGTGCCCAACTTATTGGTACTCTTTCTGATGTTTGGGGTAGAAAATCCTTTTGACTGCTAATAGTATTTTTCGCACGTGCCCCACTTCCTTTAATGAAGATCAGCCCATGCTGTTACTTCCCTGTTCTCTCTGTTTCTGGGGGATTTGCAGTTACTTTCTCCATGGTATTTGTACATGTAGCAGATATAATCCAAGAGCCTGAAAGAAGTATGTGTTATGGCTTGGTTTCAGCAACATTTGCTGCAAGTTCAGTCACCTGCGATTGGAGCTTACCTCAGCTGAGTGTATGGAAACAGCTTAGTGCTGGTCCTAGCTACAGCAATACCTTTACTAGATAGCTTTTTTTGTTCTTATTGCTGTGCCTGAGTCATTGTCCGAGACGATGTGACCGGTATCATGGGAAGGACCCATTTCCTGGGAACAGGCTGACCCTTTGGCCTCTTTAGAAATAGTAGGCCAAGATTCGATAGTGCTGCTTGTCTGCATTACTGTATTTCTCTCCTACCTACCCGAAGCAGGTCAGCACTCCAGCTTTTTTTGTAATACCTCAAACAGAAAATAAAATTTTCACCAGAAAGTGCTGCAGTATTCATAGCCATCCTTAGCATTCTTTCCATTATTGCACAGACCATCGTCTTGAGTTTACTTATGAGGGCAACTGGAAATAAGAACACCATTTTAGTGGGTTGGCGATTTCAAATATTACAGCTGGCATGGTATGGATTTGGTTCAAAACCTTGCATGACGTGGGCTGCGAGGGCAGTAGCAGCTGTATTTAGTATTACCTTTTCAGTTGTTAGTGCGCCGTTTTCACAAACTGTTGATGCTGATCAATAAGGTGTTGTTCAAGGAATGGTAACAGGAATTCCAGGACTGTGCAGTGGTTTGGGGCCAGCCTTTTATGGATTCATGTTCTACATGATCTACGTGTTTCTTAAGGAACTGCCAACAACAGGAACAGACTTGGGGACAAACACAAGCCCTCAGCATCACTTTAAACTGAATTCCATCATCGCTGGGCCTCCCTTCCTTTTTGGAGCCTGTTCAGTACTGCTGGCTCTGCTTGTTGCCTTGTTTATTCTGGAACATACCAATTTAAGCTTAAGGTCTAGCAGCTGGAGAAAGCACTGTGGCAGTCACAGCCACCTTCATAATACACAAGTGCCAGAAGAGGCCAAATAACCTTTACTCCAGGATACAAATGTGTGATGACCAAAATCAGGAAGATTTTTCTACCAGCCCCCAGGTCTTAGTTTTCACCTATAGTTCTGGATGTACATTCCATTTTCCATCTACAATGTACTTTAGGATTGTCTCAAAAAATGTGTCTGCATGAACTTCATGGGAACTAAAGAAAGAACTAAAAGAACTAGACAGCTTTCCAAAGATGTTATAATTTCTTTGGAAGGAAAATCTTTTATTCATTGGCACCAGCTTCTTGACTGTTTCCTTATACATCCCTTAATTAAAAATTATGTATGTAACTTGTTAAATATTTGCACATATTTCTCTGCTAGCATTTCCTTAAGGTGTTGAGCTTTAACTCTATGCTGACTCTCAGCGAGACTGAGTAGGTATGACTGTACACCACTTTGTTTTTAAGGTTGTAAAATCCTGAGTCCTATTTAAATATGTGAAATCTTGGGTAAATATGTAAATCCTGGATAAAATAATTCAAACTCTTAATGCAGATGCACTAAAATAAATGGTAAATGAAACATTTGCATTAAAAAACAAAAAATTTTACTAAATCTGAATCATGCGTTAAAAGAAGGAAATGTTGTCTCTGTGTAGAGCTCCTTTACAGAGGTGGGCTGTGCAAGGGCAACCCCGGGAACAGGTCATCTTGGCGAAGCATTCTGATGTAGATTATGGACTTTTCTTGACCTTCCACTTGAAAAGAACCTGGGAACAACTCAACAGCCAAAGAGTTCCAAAGAAAGGATATGAGATCCTTCTGCCAGGCTTGGGTATCAGAGCAAGGAAGGAGGTTGAAGAGATATTTTTCTATTCTCAGTGGTCTCAGAACATTGGACAGATGAAATGTCAAGTACTCTGGAGTTAAGTCAACCTTAATACAAATTCTGACTCTTTCACCTAATAGCTCTATAAGTTCCATCCAATTCCTTAACCTTCCCAATATTCCATTTCCTCATCAGTCACGCTAAAATAATACCTATGTAAAATGTTTTCACAAAATTGAGTGTTGTGCGGAAATATAAGACATGGGGTTTGGCAAACACTATACTCTTGATTAATGATATATCTCCTTCCCTACCCACTCTGAGACTGTATTAGAGCCTGCAAAACAAAGAATCTTGAGGATCAGAGTTGCCCCTTTGTAAAAATGAACGAGTTCTCATAACAAGGCCTTTGTTTCTGTTTCTTGAGGATCACTTCAAAACAACAAAGAGAGAAATGGAACACTAGTGAAGAGGTGGAGCTAAAAAGGGACAAATGTACCATCACCATTTTATAAACAATATTTGTTTTGCTTTTATCACAAAATAATATAAATCTCATGTTCATTTTAAGATTTTAAATTGAATGTTATTTAATATTGCTAAGATGACAGTATTCTCCAAGCTGTTATACAGAGTCAGTACAATTGCTATCAAGATCCTAGATGGCTTTGTTGCAGGAATTGACAAGCTGATCCTAAAATTCATAATGAAATGCAACAGACCCAGAATAACCAAATCAATCTTGAAAGAAAAGAATAAAGTTGGGGTCTCATACTTCCCAATTTCAAAACTTACTACAAAGCTACAGTATTGGAAACAGCATGGTATTGGCATAATGATAGACCTAAAGTCAGGCCTATCAATGGAACTGAGATTCCAGAAATAATCCCAGATTTGAGGTGAATTGGCTTTCAACAAGCCTGCCAAGAATATTCAGTGAGGAAATAATGATCTTTTCAACAAATAGTGCTGGAACAATTTGATAGCCATTTGCAAAAGGATGAATTTGAACTTTTGCTGTACACCATACACAGAAGTAACTCAAAATGGATCAAACACCTCATCATAAGAGCTAAAATTTCTAAAGTCTTAGAAGAACACATAAGCATAAATCTTTGTAACTGTGGAATGAGAAATGGTTTCTTAGAACACCAATACCACAAGAAACAAAAGAAAAGTAGATAAATTTGACATCACAAAAGTAAAAACATTTGTGCTTCATAGAACAACATCAACAAACATAAAAGGAGGGGCTGGGGATTTAGCTCAGCGGCAAAAGCGCCTGCCTGGCAAGCGCAAGGTCGTGAATTCGGTTCCCGGTACCAGAGAAAAACCAAAAAAAAAAAAAAAAAAAAAAGAAACATAAAAGGTAACCAATAGAATGGGAGAAAATGCTCTGGAAATGACATATCTGTAAGGTGACTTACATTCAGAATATATTAAATAACACCTACAACCCCAAAAGACAAATGACCCAAATAAAAATTGGTAAGGAAACTAAAAAGAACTTTTTCCAAAGAAGATATATAAGTGATCATAGGCACAGAAAAAGAGATAACCAGCATCCTTATCCACCAGGGTAAAACAAAGCAAAAACACAAGATGATTTATTAATTCTACATAAATGCAACTGTGTACCCATTGAGCAATGTTTTACATTTTCCAAACTTCCCACCCTTGTAACCAGCAGTCTATGCTCTGTTTATATATATTAGATATTTTTAGTTTCACATATAGGTGAGATTATGCAGTACTTTTTCTGTGTTCATCTTACTCACTTAGCGTAATGATTAAATATAATGATGAAAAGTACAAAGTAATGACTATAGTTAAGCATACTGTATATGTAGATTTCATGTGCTCACACCAAGAAAAGATAACTGTAAGAGTAGATGGATATGATTTGCTTGACTTTAGTAATCATTTTCTCGTGTATATGCACACCAAAGCATTGTGCTGTACAACAACTTGTATAAAATATATGGAAATTTTATTTTAAAAACAGAAACCAATATGATAGCACTTCACACTCACTAGGATGGAAGAATCAAAAAGACAGATATTAAAACATATGAGCAAGTACTTAGATAAATTTGAACCCTCACACTGCAGATGGGAATGCAGAAATTGTTCGGCTACTTTTGAAAACATTCTTACAGTTAGTCAAATGGCTAAACACTGAGTTTCTACATGATCCAGCAATTCCACTCCTAGGTATATATCCAAGGGAATTAAAAACATATGTTTACACAAAAACTAGCACACAATATTCACAGTGACATTATTTTAAATTGGAAACAACCCAAATTTCTATCAACTGGTGAGTGAATGAATGAAACGTGGTACATACAAATGATAGGGTATGATCCAAATGAAGTACGGATTCATGCTACTATCTGGAGAACCTTGAAAACACTGTTAAATGAAAGAAGCCAGACACAACAGGCCACATAGTGTATGATTTTATTTATAGGAAATGTGCAGATTAGGCAAATGCATAGAGAACAAAGTAGATCAGGGTTTTTCCTGGGGTAGGGGAAGGGAAATTGGAAAGAAGTGGAAGGTGACTGCTAAAAGATACAGGATTTCTTTTTGGAAGTAATAAATTGTTCCACAATTGATGGTGGTGTTTGTTGCACAGTTGTATAATGTAATGGAATACACTGAATTTTGCACTGTAAATTGGTAAATCAGATAATATATAAGTATATTTCAACAAATCTATTATAATAAAGTGATATATGCCCATTATAGAAACATGAGTAAATTCAGAAAAACAAAAAAAAAGAAGAAACTATTCATGCTTTTAAAAAATTCTATTTCCCAAGATAGATTACATTAAAAAGTCCTTATCCAGATACATCATTTGTCCTGTTTACTTCTCAAGCACCATTTTGTCTCTCCTGCAGTGGTATCACATGTTCCAATCACTAGAGGTTTCCTAGAGATATTCCATATTTGACTGTAAGTCTACACACTTGCATACATTATCCTCATCCCCTGTAACTGGTCCTTCCTTTCTTTATTTGGCTAAATGTATTCATCCATATGTATCACTTTCTCTAGAAAGTTTTGTCTAATCCCTAGGACTAGGTGTACTGTCTTAGTGTCTAATATATAGATGCCTATGGTTATTTCTATAAGATATTTCACCACATGTAAAATTTAAAAATTAAAATTTGTAAAAATTATACTTACTGAAAAGTATTTTAAAATTGCACAGGACCTCAAAGATCATTGGTACATTTTCGAACAGTCTAACTTTCATGTCATCAAAGTCCCAAAAGGATTGGAAAAAGGGATTGGTACAGAAACTAATTTTTAAATCAATAATTGCTCAAAATCCTCTAAAATATTATCAAAAATATTAACATACAAATTAAAGAACACAGTGAAACTCAAATTTGATAAATTTAAAGAAAACCACTCCCAGACAGATAAGAAAACTGCTTAACATCAAGAACAAGCAAAAAAAATCTTGAAATGGGTGTGGTGATGCATGCCTATAACGCTGGTTATTTGGGAGGCTGAGGTTGGAGGTTACAAGTTAAAAGGCAGCCTGGTAATGTAGTGAGACACTGTCTGAAAAATAAAGAACGAATGAATGAATGAAAAAGAACCATCTTGGAGGCACCTAGAGAAACATGGTACATAATATATATAGTACTAATAATTTGAAATGCTGTAGATTTCATCAGAAACCATAGAGGCCAAAAGATAATGGAACAATGTCTTCAAATTGCTGAAAGAAAATAACTATCTAGCCCGAATTCTATATCCAATTAAAATATCCTTCAGGGGTGAAGATAAAATAAAGACATTCTTACATGATGGAAAACTAAGGTGTTCATTAACCGCTCTAAAAGAAACACGAAAGGAAGCTTCTCGGGCTGAACATAAATGATACCAGAGAGAATCACAGAACTTTGGTAGTGAAGAAAGAAAACTAGAAATAGTGATATTTAACTAAAATAAATGATTATTTTCCTCCTCTTAAGTTCTTTAAAATATACATTACTATTGGAAACAAATGTTCTACTATTGTCTGGTGGAGTTCTTAATATATTTAGATATACCTATGTAAATGTCAAAGTATCAGTAAGAGAGTATGAAGTGGTTATGAGGCTTCACTTTTTAAACATTTATTTGCAGTAAAACTCAGTTTTATTTAGAAATTGCATATACTCATGTAACCAACACAACAATTAAGAACTAAGCAGATCTAAAAATATAAATATAACCATCAGTATATTCCTCAGGCCCCTTTGTTTTTCTCCCCTCTCTTCCTCCAAGTAAACCAATATATAGCACTCTTTCACTGTAGGATAGTTTGCATTTTGTAAATTTTATATGAATGAAATAAAATAGTACATACTCCTTTCTGTCTACCTTCTTTCACTCGGTGTAATTATTTTGAGATTCATTCACATTGCATCAAAGACATATGTGGTATGTATTTGTGCATGGGATTCTTTTTGGGAAAACCAAATCTACTAATACATTATATACATAAATGAAGGAAAAGTTAAAGGTAAAGATTCTGAAATAAAGCACGTAGTATTTGAAATCCTTCTGGAGTGGCCGTTAGGTCAAAGCTGTGGTGGCCAGACCTTTCACAGTTTGCACAGTTCTTGGTACAGAACTGTGGCTACACAGCTGATAATATAATGTAGATGAGAACTCACTGCTTTTTTAAAAATTTTCTTTTCCTCACTGCTTTCTGAGGTGCAGCATTTTTTCATGGAAAAGGCCCAGATTCAAGAGTCAAAAGGACATTATCCTGAATCTGTCACTTACTGGCTGAGCAACTGTGAGAAAGTTATGTCAATTTCTCTTAACTTCCTTATCTTTGAAAACTAGAGATAACGACAGCACTTTATATATTAGCTATGGACATTAAAATGAGATCATGTATATGAGGCACTGAACATGGAGTCAGCTATATGGCAAATAATCAAAAAGTGTTAGTTTCTTTTCTATCCTTTTGTGATTTGTGGAAAGATTCTCACCCTCAAAAAAAGAAATAGCAATATCTTTGAGCTTAATTGTAATATCATAGTGCCATCTGGTGACAACATGAAAAGATTACACTGTCTGTATGGGCTACTTCATTTCTAACAAATATACACAATATGTAAATTCCCATTACACATTGGGCTAGTGGTGTAAGGGCAGAGAGAGCGAGCTGTGTTTGAGGACTGTTTTGCTGAGCTCTCTCCCTCAGGTAGGCATCCTTTCATGTCAAGAAGTAGGGCCCGAGGAGGAATGAGAGTTTCTTGCTCCATAGCCTACCCTAGGATGGGCAGCTGGCACATTGCGTGTAAGCAAGTGAGTGAAGGAAATGTTGGGAGAGAGTAGTTGGGGTGCTCTCTTGTTAAGAAGTCTTCCCTTGAAAGGTCTGACCATCATAGCTTTAATCTAAAGTCCATTCAAAGTAGAATAATCTCACATATCACCCAGTTGCTCCTGAATGGCTAATGAAAGGCAAGTCCTCTCAATTCCTTCAACCATCCAACCACCTAGATGAAAATCTATCCCATCAGAGTACAGCCAATTTCTCTGAATTCATCAGACTTCTATCTGATATCAAGTTTTATGAGGTTCTTCCCCCAATCCTGCACTTACCATAACCCTAATACATGTCTCTACAGATGGTCATTTTTGCCATCTCTACTGTGCCATCAATTCAAGTCTAGACTGGTCCATTTATTGCATATGAACTTTATTGTGGTTTGATTTATATTAAGGCAGTTTGGTGAAGGCACTGTGGAAGTTGCAAAGACCAGAAAATATGGTAGAAAATGAGTGAAGTGAAAAACAAAAAAAATTACAAAACATATTTTTTAAATGAATGCATACCAGACTAGACTAAGTACTACAGCTACGTTTCTTTTTCATCATTACAGAAGCGTTGAAATATTGCTAGAAGTGGGCTTTGGGATGGGAGTAGGGAGGGTTTCATGGAGGAGGTGGCATTAATGCTGAGCCTTGAAGGAAGGGTAGAATATTGATAGATGAAGACAGAGGGAAGAACATTCTATAATGACTGACTCTACAGAAAATTTTGCAGAAGTACTGAAAAACAAGAGGGCAAACAAACACCCCCAGGGAGTGAAGCTTCCCAACTGAGGGAAAAGCCTGAGGAGGCTGGGCCCGGACCCAAAGTCTCAAGCTCCCACGTGGGACCTCCAGTACCTATATTAGGAGGCACAGGACAGGGGGCTTATTTGTAAACCTAGCAGCAGCAAGAGGTTTCACATTGCAGTCAGGGGCGCCAAACTGGCTGTACTACTCTTGGGTGGATCCTGTCATCTTTTCAGAGTGTGTAATACTTAACTCGTCACTTTCGCCCACTGACGGCCTGAACGGTAGTTCGTGCGCTCCGGCATGCACGCGTGTGAGTGTAGGTGTGTGTGGATAGTGGGGGACTGAGGTTTTGTCTCCCACTGCAGCTTCTTGCACTATTCCCTCTTACGACATACAGCTGGCTTCTGTTGAGTTCAAGCTCAGGCCTTTTTCACTGTCTAGGCCTCACTGAACCCCAGCTCTTGATTAAGCACCTAGGAAGCTTGCTGAACATAAAGGTAAAACTTACTGTGGGGGGTGACTTGGATGAGGGCAGGACTACACTTTCCGGAGGTGGCAAGGATAGCTGTGGTGGTGGTGGTGGTGGTGGTGGTGGTGGTGGTAGTGGCGGTGGTGGTGGTGGTGGTAAGGGTGAGAACCTTAAAGTCTGCTTTGGCTGCTGGGTGAAATGCTTCTGAAAAGTCTGAAGTGTCAATCAGGAGATGGGATGTCAGGCTAGACCAGCTTGGCCTTGATCATCCTTCCTCCTTCCTCAACATTTCCTACAGGAAATATATATTGGACAAGTGAAAACAGCAAAGACATCTGTAAGGTGTCCAGGCTCTCATTATTGTCCTGCCTGAATCTCACCTCTGGAATCCCCAAAGATCTTTTCTTTGCACACATATGTATGATCTCCAGATAGGACTGTCACCTCCCCCTACCCATCTGCTGGAGGTATATAGGTTATGTAGCTACAGCTGCTACTTAGATCAGGAGGTATGGGAAATTATCAGAGAGAGGAAAAGTTAATTATTGTGAATTTCTTTCTTTCAATAATTATAAATCTTAGTTAAGACCTGGCACCTGACATAAAACAAAAGGATGGAAAACTCTGCCAGGATTCTCTACAGTTGGAGATTTAGAGCTCAGTGAGGTCATCGCTGGAAATAACCTTGAAGCTGATGTGACCTTGCTTGACTTTGGCAGTTGGACCACCCTTTTTACGCAGGTAGAGAGACTTCAGCTCACGGCAGTCACTGGGGTCAGCATCCAGAGTAACCTGCCCCAAGAACTGGTCACAGAATTTTTGTCTGTTCCAGACCTGTAGAAACAAATCAAGGGAGTGAAGAGGTGCAACCTTCTGTGAGATGGACCCTTTCCCAGAGATATCTACAGTTCTGATAGTGAGATTGCAGTGGTCCATCTTGACCTAGCAAAGTAAGAGTCTTCTGAAATGGTATTCCCCCTCATGGAATTTTACAGTACACGTATTAGCAAATGTATCTGTAAAGCTGTGGGCTTCTGCCTACTATAAAGTAAATGCAAGAGATTTAGGCTGGAGATGAATAAGAAACTCAAGTGTCTGTGCTTGGTGGGAAGTGTTTTTGAGTATAAAACAAAGAGAAAAGAAACAGTATAACCCTTGTTCTGCGTTTTAAACACATGTGAGGTACTTGAGGTAATCTTGTATCTGGTAGAGTATATGAACTCTCTCAGGCCTGCTGTTCACGCTCTTACCTGGACTATAATAGGAATGTCAGTGGTCCTTCTGTAGAAAATGGCCTGGGTGTCAAAAATGGCATGTACAGTATTCTTCTGGACAGGTGAACGAACTTCCTCCTTTCCACATTTGATGACCAAATATGGGTTTACAGCTGGAACAAGGTGACAATTTTTAAATATGGTGGTTAACATTCCTTTTCTGGGTAAGCAAGAAACTATCTCCTGAAGTCAAACTTGGGACTTTCAGCATAACACCTGAGCACTCGAATGCCCTAGAACTTAACATTTTTGTTTCTTCTTCCCTTTCCTTTTTCATATTTCATATATGAATATAAAAATATGTATTACGTAGATCTTGCCCAAAGAAGTTTACATCCCATTTTCTTTCATGGTTGACATCTATTTTGACTTCTCTGGACTAAAAGTGCCATGGGAAGGATTAATTTCTTCTCATCTTTTCTAACCATACATGCAATATATGAAATTGAACATTTCTTTTCCAGAAAGCCCTGCCGTTCTTACTTTCAGTGTCATTTTTCTTCTCCAGGCCCTCAGCACTGTGGACCGTGATCTGGGTAACAACCTTTGGGTAGCCACGAGCCAGGTTCCAGCAGGACATCTTGGGCATATCCATAGTTAGTTCCCTAGAACAACAAAACCACATGTCATCTGATGATGAACATCCTTTGATAAGATGGGTTTGTCAAAGCAGACATCATTGCTGAAAATCATGAGACTCTGGGTGACAGCCTATTGCTGCTCAGATATGGCTTATATTTTGTAAGTGTGGTTTCATTTCACCTTTGTAGAAGGACCAGCAGATAATGACAAAAATCAGGGCTCAGGTAAAAAGGGACTTTGGTGACTCAGTACTGAGAACATAATAAAGAAGCACTTACAGGGAGCACTGACAAGCTGTTTACAAAGAGACAGAGTTAGCCAGAGAAGAGGAGACAAAATGTAAGTGAAAACTTTAGGCTGTTGGCCTGTTCCCTTTAAATGACAGCTCAAAACTCTAAAACTCAGACCTACTCAAAGGAATTTCTCATAACCCCACCTTCAGAAATACTATATTCCAGTCACCATCATTTCAGTTAAGTAGGTCTGACTTGAACAGTTTGTCCCTTTGAGTCTATAAGTACAGAGAGATGAGTCAAAGGTTTAGGAGGCAAAGCAGAGAACAGGAGGCTGAAGGGCTTCCCAAGGATACTGAACCTGAGCTGAACAGGCACTTCAGAGAAGATTCTCAGGAGAAATTCGCTGGTGCGGCCATGTTGAAACATGGTAGGGACAAGCACATAATTGCCTTTCTTCAGGTACTTGCTGAGAAACACGGTGCGGGTATCAATATAGGTAGAAGTCCCAGCACGCTCCTGGATGTAGAGGTGGTGGAGGCGGAATCTGCGGTTTATCTCCACCTAGAAATGAAAGAGGATGCAATATTTCATCTTGCTCAAATTACAGTTTTTGTATTGAAAGGTCCTCCTTCTTGCCTTTATTTCTGAGTCTTGCATACTTCCATTTACTCAGACCACTCTAATTTTGACTCTGTTTGCCTTCATGCTCTTTATTCCAAATACCCATTCTTACCTTGAAGAGCTCAAAGCCAATGATGTAATTGTCAGGTCTTCTCATTCTGCGGTAAGTGCGCAGGTCCTTCTGTTGCAGTGACATGATAACCTTGTGCCCATCCTCAGGCACAGTGAAGATGTACTAAGGGAAAGGGGCCAACAAAGAACTGAGTTAGCCCTCCAGTTTCAGGTGATGCAGCTTAAATTTCAAGGAAGACAACTGCATTGGATGGAGAAAGACAGCCAGAGAAGGTAACTCAGATTTGACAATGTTGCTAAGGTATGTGTCTCCAGAGCCCGTCTGCTCTGACTGCTCTGAGCCAATCTCTAGGGATTCTAGTTGATGAGTATTATACAAGATCTGTAAATGGAAGAGTTAATGCCAAAAAAAATACTTCAGCAAACACCAAAGAGAAGCCTAGATTCCTATAAGCTGGATTACTTAGGGGAAAAGAAAACTCATTTGACTCGAACCTGAGGGTTCTGCAGGAATGTATCACGGTTGTTATAGCAGCCTCCGGAGCGATTCATTAGAGGATCATCATCCACAGTCCAGCATCCCAGCACAGATTCGAGCTCCTTGTGGCCAAAAACGGGATTATTCACATTGCGACAGACATTCAGTTTGTGAAAGTTGCGGCAAAAGTCTTCCAGGCTCATCCTGAGTGGAAAGAGTGGAAGAAAGAAATGAAGATATTATTTCGTACTTGCTTCTTACGTATTCTGTTAAGAACCCCAACTCCCTTAATGCAGTAAACCTCTTCTCACCAAAACTCTCCATCGTCACACATGACAAGCCCCAGGTTCTTGCGATCTGCTGAAGTCAGCTGCTGCCACTCTTCAGAACTAAAGACAAATAAAGAGTACAAAGATAAGCCATTATATTTACAGTTGACTTCCTATGGTAAACAGGCTGCCCAAATAACAGAATACATGAGGATCAGGCCTGCTTTCTCTTACCTCTGCCTTTGTTGCAGACCCCATGCCTGACAAGAGCTCACAGATGTCACTGAGCATTGAGTGCCCACTAGCAGTCTCGAGGGATGGGTTTGGGAGAACTACAGAACTTTGGACACGTAGCACTGAATGTGCAATGCCACTCACATTTCACTCCAGGGGCCACTCCATTCCTGTCTTCCCAAGGGATTCCTCAAGCGAACCATATACAACTTCTCAGCTCTGAAGACTTCCACAAGTCTCTCTCCAAGACGTATCTTGCGAATATCAGTCATGGTATAGGTATGACCCTTTAGCAGGCCCCAGTCAGTTTCAACTTCTTGCTCCTCCTGACTGGGAGACTGAGAACAAAGCAAGATACATAAGGGTGTAGGATGCAGGAGACCTAAATCCTGACTACCCTTCTTCCTTGATCAGTTTATGCCGACATGGTTGAAGCTAGTGCTCCCACAGAGACAGAAATTTGATCATGAAAACTAACCCATCACAGAAACAGCTGCAGGAGAGGAAATAAAAAATACAATATAACAACTCACTTAAGCAGCTCAGACTCAAACTACCCCCTGCAATACATTGATGTGGACCATAATAAAATTTGGTAGGGTAGATTCATTTCTTGAGCAGCCAACTACTATTTAACTTCAACATCCAGGGGCTATGACAAGAGGAAAAATTTACTAGAGGTTGTTTATACCAGCTTGGATGCTGCTTTGGCCTCCAGTGCAATGACCGGTTCAAAAGGATAAAAAATTAAAGCTCCTCAGTCTCCTTGCCAGGGTGCCATGCCTATGGTAACTTCCCGAGTTCCATTAATGGTTTTTCATTGATCTCCAGGGTAAGGGCAGTGTTCCCTACTAAATTTTGCAGGTTTTTTTCTGCCAGAAGCAAGCACAAAGTGGTTATTTTGGTGAATACAAACCTCAACGGAGCAGCAGATCAGACCTCCTTTGGTGAACGTTTTGTACAGTTCTCCAAACAGCTTGTACTTCTCCTCAACAAGTTCAGTGTATCTCCCCTTCTGCATGTCAACAGTTTCAGCCAAAGTGCCCGTGAAGTCCACAATGATATCAGTGATGGTCAGACCATCTAGGGCCTCATAGCAGCCCAGAAGCCTGAGGGGAAATATGTAATGTTATCTTTGTAAAATTATTTTTCCAGGCCAAGGACATCATGTTCCCAAAAATTAAAACAGTCCTTGCCTGGACTTTACCAGCTGTCCTTTCTCTAGATATGAAAAGAGAGATATTTTGAGATTATAGTCAGAGATTTCTAAGGTTAAACTATGTTGAGCAAGGACAGTCCATACAGAAACTTATTTCCATAAGCAGATATTAGACAAGGAAAAAAGGAGGCGATAATTACACGTGATCTGCAGATTGGAAACCTAGGAGACCTAGGAGAAGGGAAAATGACTGACTTCTCTCTTATGTAGGATTTTGAGGGGCAGGCCCAGGCTCAAAGCAATGCCTTAAATATGACTGGGATGCAATCTAATTTTATGTCTGCACTTGGGTTGGGAGAGATGAGTACCCAAGGACAAATGGGGTTTTCCTTTCCTTACGTACCCTCACCACAAAATAGTCAATCCCCCTTACTTTGCATAGGCTTTTTCCAGTAGAGCATTCCAAAACTCATTCATGGAAGTTGAGAAGGAGAAGACCAGATCTCCATTGATGGTGGGCAGCAAGTCATCAATCACCACCTCTATCCATTCTCCAAAATGCCAGAACCGAAAGTGAAATATTCCAGCATATCTATCTGGTTTTCGAGGATCCCATTCTTGTTCCTTATGGTTGGGAATTGTCTGAACAGGTAAAAGCACTCAATAACATTAGTTAATAGCCCATATTCAGATATGGAGATTAAAATTAGCTCCTAGTCAAACTATATAGCAAAAGGAAGGATATCAAATACACCTGGCGTGGCTCTCGATTGAAAAGTCCTAAGTAGGGCATTTTTGTCTACAACTTCTGCTTCCCCCATTCATTTTTGCTGAGGATGATATTGCCATGTCTGCCTTGAATATGACTGGTACAGCGAGTCAGGGGTTAAACATTCCCCACAGATAATCTATAAACTAGGTAATGGGAAAAGGACTATACAAATATATTCACGACTGCATCTCTAAGCACATAAGCAAGACATTTAAAAAGGTAAAACCAATAAAAATACAAGACCCAATGTAGTGTTTTAAAATTATTTAGAAATTTTGTGTAGATCCTATAGAATACAGATTTTATTCACACCATGAATGAAGTATATTGCGGAAATTCTTTTTTATGTATTAATTGACCTTAATATTCTAAAACTCCCAAATCACAGTAGCACATTGTTGCCTTACATTTTAACTAAATGTCAAGGAATTTTCATACTACTAACAATTTATTAGAACTTTTCCAACGATCTTTTTCTATCGTTTTCTCCTTTTCTGTTATGCATATGTGTGTTAGTCACTTCCTGGCTCCTTACTGGTTTCACACCTCAGCAGGTATATAGAATAAAGTATTAAGTTAAAGCACTGCAAATGACAATAAAAGATCAACTAATATACTTGACAAAGAAATTAGAGAAAAATGTTAATGGAATCTGTGTGGATACACATAGGTGTTGGTTGCAGAGTTCACTTGGCTGTGAGTATGAAATTTCCTATAACGCAATAGTGGGAAATCACTAGTTAATAGTTGTGACTTCAGAAAATAGAACAGCCTAAGAAATTCATGAGCTCATTTTTCTCAGTTATTAAAGAGAACAAGAAGCTGGAATCTGAATGAGGTCCTACACAAGGGATGTTACCTTTGTCCAGTGAGACTCCTGCACAGCCAAACAGGAAAATGCAGGAACCATGGACTTGTGCCCCAGTCTTCCCTGAATCAGCTGGTGGTTGCTGATGTTGCCTACAATCAGGTGGGGGTCATCGCAGATGTCCTATGGATACAATCGTTGGTTATATAAAAGTCTGGGAAGAGCTTCCAAAGAGTCATTGTGAACTGAACTAAGCAGGACAGACTTCATAGGGGAAATGGATTTAGGGTTGAAAGACGGTTAGGATTTTCAAGGATGGGATAAAGAGAAGGTTGAGGGGATTATGAGGAAAAACAGAAAAGAGTAGACAACTAGCTACAGAAAAAGGACATGTGTGGAAATGGCTAGCGAAATGGAAGAGATGTTCCAATAATACAGTATGATGTGTGCTGGTGGAAGGGCCCTTATCATTTGGGTTTGGAAGAATTTTTACCACAGCAGTGAACTTCAAAAGATGAGAACTAAAGAATAGCATATTTTGCTTTACTTTTCTGAAGCACCTTTGCTTGGAGGGGTGATTGCATCTCAGTGAAAAAAAAAGTTGGTTGGAAATGAACATTAGAGTTTCTCTCTCTTTAGGGAAATGAGTGCAAAGACACTGTAGGAGCCCATTTCTAACACAAAGCAAAGGCAGCAGCAGTTTCAGTGGCAGCTAGACTTTCTGTCAGCTTTGGATGAATACAGATGACTGCAGCATTAATAGCAGGTGTTAATAGACCTTCGCTTGGGCCTGCCACCCCGTCACCTCCATGGGAGTTGTAGGACGAGGGGAACTGATATAAAGTTCACACTGCTGCTTGGCTGGTGACTAAAAAGCTTTTCTAAATCCACCTGGATTCGCTGTTTGTTTGTGCCTAGGAGCATTTCGACACTCTTCCCATAGTGTATCTCCCAGAAGGATCTGGGCAGACGGGGGCAATATCTGTTTGAAGTGTATGTCTGTGTGTCTTTATCTTAATAGATGATTAGCTGTGCCATTCCAGCTGTGAGTAGGGAAAATGAGACCCAAATAATATATTTATATATTATATAAATAATATAATATAATTAAAATATGATGAGGGCACAGTGGAACTGTTTTCAAGTATAATCAATGCCAATAGAGGAACAATCGCTAAAGTATCCCCAGTTATATAGTAAGTATCAGAGTGGTGGTAAATGTCAAATTGACTGGAGGTAGGCCAAGGCATAACAGGTACACAGGTGTGGGCAAAGGCATAACGGCATGCATGACACCATACAACTGAAAATATGATTGTGTGACTCAGAGCATGAGCACTTGTAGATTTCAAAGGCAGGAAATACAAATAAAGTCTGAGAGATGGAGAAAGTTTTGTGGAGGAGGCCCTTGGCCGGTACCTTGACATTCTGCTTACCCAGCAGAAATAAATCCTACTCTTAAATGGAAAGAAAATCTAGACATATAGTCTTTTTAAAATTATTAAATAGAGACAGCTATATTTTTCTAGTCCTCAACTCTGTTTTAATGGACATAATTCTCCTTGATGAATGGTCTGGTCTACAGAATGAAACATTCCATATATTCTTTAAAAGCCAAAATAACTCTGGAAAGAAAAAAGCATTCTGGGCAGGGACAAGTTCAAACTGAAGATTAATTAGACAAACCTTGGCCAAAAGGAGATGGTTAGATGTGTTGTCAGCTTTGAATTTCCTGGTCTATTTTTGTTTAAGATATATGTCTGATGTCTCATCACGACTATCTTTCAAGGTATTTTTTATGGAGTATAAACTGCCTGTTTTTTTTTTTTTTCTTTCACTTACTGAGCATAGAGCAAGTATGTCAGATCAGTTAGATCCTGATGTTCTTTGTCTTCTTTTTGTGTCTATGATTTTTCTAAAATGAAATCAAGCATAGTTTTTCACTCTAGGTCAGAAGTTGACATTTTTTTGGAGCAAGATGTAAAGTTATACAATGATTTCTTCAATCTACATGATTTATACCGTAGTTTCCTACCATGAAAATAACAATAACCATTAATATGTAAAAGTTGTGCTTTTTCATTAGTAAGATAAATTATGTTCTAATTTTATGTAGTTACCACAGGTGGGAGTTACCTTACAGTGTCTTGATTTCCTACAAGGCTCATTTCACACCAGGGTTCAAGGCTCAGCCAATACTTCCCACATGTCAACTTTTACTTAATACATAAAAGGTCACATAGATAAAAAAAGAGAAATATAAACAGAGCTCAAATTGAACGACTGAACAGACTGAGCGATTACTTGATTATTGTCCCATAAAGCTGAATTAGATGTGTTCAATATATATCTATATGTCTATGAGCAATCATGGTAGAATGTAAATTCGGGCCAAAAAGCCCTTAATGATGATATTCTCTTATTCCTTAGTTTTACCTTACCACTCTTTGTACATCACATCTACTTAACAATGAACTTTAAAATGTAATAAGAGTCATGGAATGTCAACACCAGGAGAAATTTAGAGACTATCTGGTTAACTTCTTTATTTTTTAGAGGAAAACCTACGCTCAGAGAAGAGCAGTAACTTGCCACTCTGGTTATATACCTAGTTAGTAGGATATCCAGAGCTAAACTTTTTGATTATTCATAATTGTGAGATTCATAATGGAATCACAAGATGTTTGCCAGGTCATCCTTTTACATTGTGGCTTATCAATGGCCCCCACATAAACGATAATATTGTATAGCTTCCCAGGGATAAAGGTGAGACCACCTCTTTCATTTATCCACCTCAGTGTTGTATTCCCCTTTTCTTAGCACTCCATTTGCTGGAAGATGTTCTTAACTTTTGGTTCCAAGATAAATATCACTAATAGGCTTTGATCTCCTTAATTTAATCCACCAAATATGAATCAACAAGCCATATCTTGTATCTCTTAAAGAAAGTAAGGCATTAAAAGACCAAAAAGCAACCAAGGAGTTAGAAACTGTAAGGGTAATGAACCAACACAAATCTAACAGTTCATGGACATTTTGGTAATTACTGGGAAATACTGAAAAGGGCATTAATTGACTTTTCCTCTAGTTTTGGATACCCTGGATATTTTCCTGTTGGGTTAAGGAAGGAAGGTTGTAGAAATTTTTCTATAAATCAAGGCTGAGACATAGAGTACAGATGGGATATTTCAGCCTGAGCTGTGCTTGAGTACTAGAGTGAGGCTGATGGCGAGGTCACAGCTCACATATCCACATTTGGGTGGCTTGGGAGTGTGTGTTGGGGAGGGGATACCGAGCCTCTAATGGCTCCCAGCTGTGTTGGCAGAGTTGAAGTGATCCGTGAACTGCACTGTTTTTCAAGGCAAAATAATTTCTCAGAGAGAAACACACACAACTAGGAAGCTGAACAGCATGAGTAAAACTGGAACAGTCTCCACATACCTGCAGACTGGAGCCAAAACCTTCTGTAAGCAAAGCAACTCCTCTAAGAAATATGTTCTCCTAGCTAGCCACTGAAAGACCTCTCAATTATCCTTACCTTATCCCCTTCCCAGAGACCTGAAGAAATCATTCAGGAAAGGGCATTCCTAAATAGGTTAGCCTATGTAGTTCCCTTTGCATTAACCCCATCCAAGTCTTCACCAGTGTTTTATACAGGAGAAATTTTCTGACGGTTAACCATCAGGGTCTAGGGCAAACCTCAGGAACAACAATAAAATGAAACTCTGCTCAGAAAAGCAGCATCCTAAAGTTTGAAGACACATTCAGAAGTGCTACATACAACCTTACAGTAACAGGGATTAAGGGCAAGGCCATCCCTGTATCAGGGATATTATGACTACATCTAGGGTCTAAGTAGTTCGAGGAGGCTTAGGGGATAATTTGCACAGAGCTGCCATTTGAGAACGGAGGGCAGTGTGAGCTGGTCCAAGTAGTCGTTATCTCATCCCCCAAAATGTATACATCTCCGAGTGAGGTGTTTATACGTGAACGTGAGCTGCATCAGTCTCTTAAGGTGTCCATTTTATCTACTGGAATTTTAATTTCTGCTTGAATATTTTGTCACTAGTGAAACATTCTCTTCCTAATCCCTCTAAGAAAAATTCAGTGTGAAGCCTGAGAATAAGATCTTAAATCCCACTTCTAATCTGACAACCAAGTTACTAAATAATTATTTTTAATCACTGAAAAAATACATTGATATTTCCTTGGGGTAACGCAAATATTCTAAAACTGAGCTGTAGTAATATTTGTAAACAAATATTTGGTACAAAAAATAATTTCACTGTACACTTAAAACAGGTGAATTTTATGGTTTATAATTGTACTTTAAGTTAAAATATTTTAAATGCAAAATTTAAAATAAATAGGACACGGAGAGAATACGAGCCTATGACACTTTCTTGGACTGTGTAAACACTAGAAAACATGTAGAACTATTTGTATGGAATGGTACTGCCTCTGGGAAAAAAAGAAATTCATGAATAGTCTAGGTCCAAACTGCTAGGTCCAAAATGTTCCATTCAGCTGGTGCATGGAAGTTCTTATTAGCACAAAACAAAAGTGTTTCTTCCTTTATCATTCCCTAAGTCTGTATATTCTGCTTCTGATAGTTACAGTCATCAATGTTTCTCTTTTATTCCTACTACCATGTTTTAATCCAGAATATCATCACTCCCCCCCCAAAAAAAACAATGTAGTGAAGTGGCTCTAAGGGAGGGTGTTCCTCAAAAGAAAATTCATCAAGTGTAGTGGTAAGAGGCTGGATTCAAAACCTCACCAGGAGATAGGACAACATCTTACGCAGGTCCCCCTTTCACGGCCTCACAGCTGCCTGTGAAAATTCCCATGAGGCCTTGTTCCATTCTAATCAGGGATTATATGTGTCTGTTTCCAAGACACTATTGTAGGTAAATGTGAATCAGTCAGGAAAAAGGCCAGAGTGGCTGGAAAAAGCTGGAAAAGAAATTGTCTGTGAGAATTTGCTGGCGAATTTCAGCCTGAGAAGCCTATATGCTGTCTAACACTGCTAACTCGGGACAACAGCCCTTACAATTTATGAAGACTTTATATAATAATGCCCCAGAAAAGTCCAGGAGCACACCATCTGGGGCAATATACCTGTGCACGCTGAGAGCTGGGACAAGAGCTGGGGCCACTGGAGCACTAAAAACGCTGAGGAGAAAGATTTTCCTCTCAGGTATTGGCAGATGATTAGCCACTGAACAACTGCAAAACACTCACACAATCCCTGTCTATCTAAAGAGGCCCCTTAAAATAGAGCAAGGAAGTGATACATGAAGAGGAGAGGAACTTGCTCTTTCCCATCAAAGGTGTGTGTGGGGGATTCCTGGAGTCGAGTTTGCTCAACTCTCAGTGCTGTTCGTGGGTAGTCAGGCATATGAAGTCTGCAGCTTTCAGTACGAGAGGAAAGAGAGAGAATATCAGGTTGCTTGTGTTCCTGTTTTGTAAACTCATCTTGGATGAGTGCGATGCTATGTGGCTTGCCAAGGGACAAGATGTCTGTCAGTTCCCCTGCAAACCAGGAGCTCAACCTTCCAATGAGGTAGGGGAAGGCAACAACCCACTTGGTCTTCCTGAGCCAACTCAGTGAGGCCCACTACTGTCTCTTAGCTTTGCTGATGAGAGGCCAGAGAACTTTGACGTGGTTTTTGACCACAGTCTTGGCCTCCATTCTGGCTGGAAAGGATTCCACAGTTTTGGAAGAGACTCAGACAGTGGTCCAGAACTTGTTTTTTCTCCTCCTTCCCACGAGAGGCCCCTTCCCCAAGCATTCCAATCTATGAGTCTCCCCTTCTGTGAAAACACTAAATGATTTACTGTCTGAATATCATAAAATAGCATTCCATATATCCAATTTTTATTTATTAGTTAACTCATTGATAGCTCAGTATCCATCTTCCCAACTAGAATGGGGAGACCTCACTACAGGCCACATCTGTAACTTGCACGGAGGCTACCATACAGTAGGTTCTCAGTAAAAATTTCTCAAATGACTCTCCCTGTGGGCTCAATAAGACTAAGCTCACACAGTGCTCTCCAAAAGGAGTGCATGTATTAATGAAGAGAAGTACAGCATCAACACAGTAAGGCTGAATGTAAGAACTGACTAGAAGGGAGCTACCTATTTCTGTTGAGAGAGAGAGACAGGGGCAGACCCAAGCAACTCTTTCTCTGGCATGACAATATGAGAGGGTTTTGGAGTCAAATCTAGATTCAAATTTTAGCTTGTTAGTGACCTGACCTTGAGCAAGTCCTTACCCTCTCTCAGAGACTCCAATTCTTCAACAATAAAATGGGCATGTCTACTGCTATTTTTAAACCAGGAATAAAGAGTCACATTAAAATAATTTTAACCTACCCACCTTGCTAGGCAGTGCTAGTGAGGATGAAATGAAATAATGTAAAATAAAAGTAAAAATAACCAAATAAGAAAAAAATGGTATAGAAAGCTCCAAACACAGTATCTGCACTAATGGCAGTTCCTTTCTCTACCCCTTCCCCTCTCCTCCCTTCGAATGCCTCGCCTTAGAATGGGCATTGCTTACCTCGGAGGAAAACACCCCTGCTAGTCCATCTAGGTTTAAATCCACAGAATTTTGACAGTAAAGGTAAAGGACAAAGGACTGAGCTAAGAGAGGGGGTAAGGATATGTCTAAAGACTGGCCAGCACAGAAAACACTTTCTGCTTGGCTCACCTCTGGGGAATGGCTTCATGCTGACTTGCAGTTTTGCTGCTTCACCAGATCTCCTCGTACCTCCTGCACCGCCTCACTACTTCCCTCTCCTGTATCTTCAATATCTTCTTCAGCCTCTTCTTTATTGCCTGGCCTGTAGCCTACAAATAGGTTCAGGTCTGCCCTATTCTACAAAGACACTTGCCAGCAAACCTACCTCTCTTGGTGCTGGGGATTTAGCTCAGTGGCACGGCACCTGCCTGGCAAGTGCAATGTTGTTAGTTTGATTCCCGGAACCGGGGGAAAAGAAACTAAATTAAAACAAAACAAAACAAAACAAAACAAAAACCTACCTCTCTCAATTTTTTGCTTCTTTTTCCGCGATTTCTGCCTGCCTGGTGCCCTTTCTTTCATATCTAAGCATCAGAGCACAGTGATACCCCTCACTATGACCATGCACTCATAAGAGTGTCTCCCGACAAAATATCTCAGTTTTCTCAATGTATTTTTAGAAGAAAATTGTCTTACTCTGTGCATAGCAAATAGCGGCTAATGAATTCTGTTAATGTTTCTCAGGTTTGTATTGCAGGCTTACAAAATGATCTGCAGATATGTCAACAACTGGGCACGCCGAGCTGATAGGAAGAACTTCTAGTCTCACCCTTTATCGTTTTCCTTATCTGTTTATTTTTGTAGGGTTTGAACCCAGCAGCTTTGCTCATGCTAAGCATACACTCTACCTCTGAGCTACACCGCAATCCCCAGTCTCATACTTTCAGTGGTGATCACTCGTTGCGAAGGGACACTGTGATAGGTCCTTCCAGTGGCACAGAAAATAAGACACTTATTGTAACTAATGCATCTCGGCACCACCTGGTGGCAACCAGCATAAACTGAAGTAGTTTTTGGAACGCTTTTGGGAGTTTAAAGTGTGGAAACCACAAATAAAATCTGATAATTGCTGTAGAGCACACCTGTAATCCCACCTACTTGGGAAGCTGAGACAGGAGGATCGCACATTCAAAATAAAAGGGGCTGAGAGCACACTTTCATGGTCAAGCATTTGTAGCTTCAATCTTTAGTACTACATGGCTTATTAAAGGAGGCGAGCATTGAGTTAGTGACTGAGGTGGTTCTGTTATATGGCTTAGAGACATCTCATTAAATACTATGGAATGTCTTCAGGGATTTGTGAAGCCTCGAGAACATGCATTTCACGACAACCTTCTGTAGCCTACCCACCTGGACACCCACGTTGTGAAAAAGTCCAGGTAGAATATTCTTCTATCCAGCCATACCCTTTGGACATTGAAAAGTTGTTACTTATTCTCCAGACTCCAACATTACATCTTATTATACACTGAGTTCTCACACATGCAGTGCTCGTGAAAGGGGTCCTGTGACTTGCTTTGAGACACAACATAGATGTTCCACGGATAACCACAACAGCTGTTAATCATTACTATTTATGAGCAGTAAAAGGCTGCAGTTCTATGCAGAGGCCACCTGGCCAGCTGTGGGATGACACAGGTGATGATACCCTAAGAGCAAGCAGCAAAGGAGACTCCCTCCCCCTATGCAAAACCCCCCTTCTCCCTGTAGAGTCCATTTATGCTTACTTTATAAGGAGTTTTTCACCTCACTAGTGTGAGATTGCTTTTAAATTGCTTAGTAAGTCATCAAGGAGACAAGTGTATGGTTCCTTTTTTAATTACCATATTTACTTAAATGAACTTCCAAAACATAAGAATGATATACCTCCTTTCTGTTGTTGCTCTTTTTAAAAATTATTAATCTGACAAATTTGACTAAAATTCTGGTCTCCTCAAGCTAAAGCCCAGAGCACAGTTCCATGAAAATTCCTATTTCTGTGGGAATTGATGGATACGCTAATTGGCTTGATTGTGGTAATCATTTCACAATGTCTATGTATACCAAAACTACATGTTTTACATGTTAAATGCATTTAATTTTTATTTGTCAGCTACACTTCAATACAGCTAGAAAAAGAAATGGAGAAAATGGGGAGAGAGACAGAGGACAGAGAGAGAGACAGAGAGGCAGACAGAAAGGGAAACAGAGACAGAGGGTGACAGAGACAGAGAGATAGAGGACACAAAGAAATGGATAGAAGCAGGAAGAAGATTTACTTTCAAATTGGTCTATACAGTAGTCCCATGTAATAGAATGTGTCAAGCAAAGTTTTGGTGAAGAAGGACGAGCAGACAAAAAGGGAGGGCGTTAAGAAAATTACCTGGGGCCGTTTCCATACCACTTTTCCAGGAAGCAGTCTGTTGTAGAAAAGAGAATCGTTCTCGGGCAGAAAGGTTGGGTCACAGAAAAGTCTACAGTCTTTGATGCACTCCTGTTTCAGTTCATGGTACTTCTGATTTTTGAAGAGCTTCAGAGGAGGACCCATAGTGTCAAACTATGCCTAGAATGAGAAAAAATAATGTTAATGTCTCTGGAGGAAGAAGTGCTTAGATTTTTCAAAGATCACCTAGATGTACCCAAACAGCAGTCAATTCAGTGACGTCTTCCCAGAGCTAGGAACTTCAGATTTATCTTTAAAGGAAAAGGAAAGGAGAAAAGAATGGGCCAAGCTGTGCAATTAATCGATACGGAGCCTTGTGAAAGGCACCTAAACATTCTCAGCCTTCAGTTTGTTTTTCTGCCAACAGGGTAGTATAGATCCTTACAGTCTCATCGGGAAAATAGGCAAAGATGTAAAGATTGCTAGTTAAGCCTGAGTCATTACAACGTAAAGGGCAATCTTCCATTTATATTAGCCAGGAATATTTCAAGACAGAGTACATTTTTAAATTTGAAGATAAAGGAAAAATAATCACTTTACTACATTCTGAATAATTTGGCTTCCCAAAGAGTCACACACTTTGTGCACAAGGAAAGAAGCTGCCCCTTCCATTTCTAAAAGTCCTTTTTTACACACTTGATTCCTTTTTTATCATTTAAAGTCATTTGCATGTTTCACTATTGGCCAAAAAGGTTAATGCAAGGAACAGAGTGTAAGCAGTTGGCCTCCAAAGACAAGAAAAAAAGACAGATTGTATAGCTTTTTCTCTTCAAAGCCTAGTGTACAATCATTTGCAGACTCTGAAATCAAAAGGCAGACCCCAAAATTCAATTACACTAATTTGGTGGACCATAGATTCTTATCTTATTGGAGCACACTGTTGATTTCTTTTCTTAAAAAATAAAGAAAAAAAGTTCACATGGCTAAACAGAGATCCTCACTCAAACTCCCTCAACAACTGGTTTGTAAGAAGAGAATTTGAAAGGTAAATCTGACCTTAAATGCTTTTGGGATGATAATAGGGTTTTCAATGCACTAATTTGATTCACAAAGATAGATATGCAATGATTTTGATGATCACCTCCTGGCGTTCAATGGTAAATGATGACACAGTTGTAAAATTTTCAGGTTGACAATAATTTCAAAAATATATTTTAAGACTGTATGTTCTATGAGCACAGGAGGATTGAAAAAAACTCAAGATTTAGAGTGTTCAAAAATTGACAAAACTTGCCAAAACAAATAAATAAACAAAAAACCCCAAGCACTCTGCACTAGCACTTTTAACAGTATTTGGACAAGCTATCTATGAGACAGTTACTATGTTATGAAAAGTATGATATCAGTCAGACCTCTCTACTAGCTCCTTTCATATCATTTCGGGATCACATTGAAGTTCCTCATGGGTAAAGAAATCTCATCTGAGAATTATAAAAATTTTATTATAAATGTTTGCAATAAGGGCTGGGGATTTAGCTCAGTGGCAAAAGCTCCTGCCTGGCAAGTGCAAGGTCGTGAGTTCAGTTCCCGCTACCGGAGAAAAACCAAAAAAAAATACACACACAAAAAATAAATGTTTGCAATATTTCAGCGATGATATGTACAATATATATGCAACAAACATACCCTTTCCCTGAATCCAGGGAATAAGAAGCTGAACATAACCACAATTTTTCCGTAGCCTTATTTACTGACAATGGCTTTTCAAATTGAGGACTGCAGGGATACTGCTCAATACCGAAGTTCTTTCCATTAATCAGATTTAAGTATGTTCACGTGTTTCAAATATTAGTGTATTTCATGGGATTTGAAGGCATGGATGGTATCAGTAATGATTTCCAGTGAAGCAGCATCAGAGTCAACCTGAATGTCCAGTCTTCTCTTTGAAGACTTACAAATGAACACCGATTTTCACGTGTGCTCCAGTTCCGAAGCAAACACCACCATGCTTCTTGCTTTCCCTAGATTTGCTGGATTGCCAGAGTCTGGGGACTATAAATGCAGGATAGTCTGAGGCAACTAGGACACTTAGTTTGCCAGAACCTCCTCGTCCCTGGATAAATGGGAATTTCCTGCTCTTGGGAAAGCTATTTGCTCCTGTAAGTCTCTCTTGCTACCAGGTCAAAGGGTGGGCAAGGCAGGCAGGAGCCTGAAAAGGGCATCTCTGTTGTAAAGAGGGCCTATGTACAGGCAAGCAGCATCAACTGAAAAAGGTATAGGTTTGATTTTAAAAACCAGTATGATCCCAATCGATTCATTCAAAAGCAAAATACACCTCTGGTATGGATGGGTCAGACCTTGACAGACTGCCTTTTGCATGAGGGTGCCAATATCTGGGGAACACTCAGTAAATAAGGAACAGCACGCTATGAGTCCACACTTTCACTAGAGTATAATTGTAGACCCATGTTCTGCCAGATTTGCATGGTAAAATGACCCGTATTTCTAAGTAACAGGAGAAGCGTGTCCCATTTGCTCTGACTTTGGTCTCTTTATGATTTTCCCATCAGGAAAATTTGTGGTTTTACTGACTGAGGTGGGTAAGTAAAAGTAGTTTTGGGCCAAAGATATAGCACAGTGGCCCAAGTGCCTGCCTGGCAAGCACAAGGTCCTGAGTTCAATTCCCGGCACCAAGAACAAACAAGCTAGTTTTGAATAGGCAGATAGTGCTCCAGGAGTGCAAGATATGCACTGATGTCTTTTCATGGTCTGGCACGGAGTAGTGCATGCAACCATTGTTCAACAGATAAATATTTGTTCAACAGATAAATGTTTTAAGCAGCAAATCAGTGATTATATAGCAGTTTACTATTGAAATGTTCATTTCACATTTTAGTTCATATTCCCTTCATAGGAGCCATATTTTATAGATATGATTTGTGCCTTTCATTTTGTACCTAAAGAAATGGCAACCAGAGAAACGGCAGCTGGAAACTGGCAGGGCTGACTCAAACCCTCATCTGTGTACTGCCAGATTTGGTGTGCGGCTTTCCATCGCACCATGCTGCTTCTTTTGGTCACTGCATTTTTTAAAGAAAAGATTTGTTAGTTCAAATGAGGAAATGCTCCAAAGCAAACATGATGCCCAATTTTGAGGCATTTTGCCTAGAATTTATTGCCATGCTGGATATTAAAAAGGTTCTTTATTTCCATGATTTGATGACCGTGGAGTATCTGAACAACTTATGTCCAGGGGTTTCTACACTAACCATCAGAAAACTTCTGGAAACCCAGAAATGTGTAAGGGATTGTCACAAACTACTTCTCTATTGGAGAAGAGGAACACTGTTGGAAGGCAATGCTCCTTTACTCCTCACTGTACCTAATGGTGACAAGGAGAAGAGAGTCCTTAAGTTAAAGACCACATATTAGGAAAGTTGCCAGACAAAATAAAAGCTCTGGCTTTGAGTATAACCCAGAGGGTCTCTGGATAACAAGGGAAATGTAGACGTTTATGAAGGGGGACCCTGTGGCTTGAAGGGTTGTGGTGTGTGTAACTAGGTGAAGCAGAGTGTAGGCTTCAGCACTGAGGTCATATTCTTAGGCAGCCTTACTTGAATTTGGAGTCATTGTGTGGAGAAAGACATGTGAGGAATACCATGTCTACTAAGGCAAGGATAGCAGCTGATCCAGAGGGTGAAGATTTGGGAATTGCCAGGAGAATCTGAGGGAGCCTGCTGTGTGGAATACAAAGCTGCAGCTGGAAGAGAGAATGTTTGCTTCTCCCTTGGACTGAAGGAATGGGGGAGCTAGGCAAATTCTTGGCACAAAAGTGCTTGCTTATTTACCTGGAGGTCAGCTTTAGAGTAGAAAGCAAATTTTGCTCTGAAAAGAATCTGATATTGGAAATTAGGTCAGTGGTTTACAACTCACTTTAGACTTGGGTGAGTAGGAGAGAAAATGAGGGCACTTAAGGGGGAGAAGGGGAGAGAACACGCCTGCGGGTTATTGTCCCTGGCTAGCTTTTCCTTTCCCCAGTGACTTTCACCCTTGTTACGTGTTTTGGACAAGAATCAGAGGTAAAGCCAACTAAGATTCTGCATACAAATTAAGTATAGAAGCCCCAGCTCTGCCCTGGCATGAGTTAGGCCCAATTTAGACACACTCAGTATCCTTTATCCCCACAGTAGGAGGTGTGGTGAGAGAAATGGGACTTGGACAGGTAGTAGTGAAAGGTCAACGTATATGTGCTACAGAGAGAGCAGTGCTTTCCATAGCTACACAGGCAGAGCCACAGATTACATCTATGGGCATGTATCTACTAGGGAACTTACATGCAGCTGCTCAGATTCAAACTGTTGGCCAGATAGTCTGGGTTCTGAAAAGGACCACAAAGGTCCTATGACCCAGCCCACTGGCTTATACAGATGCACCCTCTCTGCCCACAGAAGTCTCTATTCAAAGAAATTTAAAGTGAAAAAAGAAGCACACCATTTCTTTTAGTTCCACTGTTGAAAAATGAAAAGCATAAAATAAGAAAGCAATTTAAAAATCATTAAATGAGCATAGGTAGTCAAGAGAGCCACTGCTTAGCTGACAGAATGTCTCTATCTCTCCATTTCATCATAAGCATAAGAGGAACGTGATGGCTGCCTTGCCCACCTCGGGGTGTTACGGGGGAGATCTCATGAAATTAATTATGTGAGTACACTTTGCTACTGTTAAGGATAGAGCTAACCTAGGGGAGGAGTATTAGAAAACTCATTTTTAGCAAGTTATGTTCCTTTTCTGTCCTTAGTAGAAACTGAGGAGATTTGATCACTCACTGACATTTAAAAGACCAATATAAAATGGCCCCTCTGCCATTCTTTATTCCCTATTCCACCTTTCTTTTTTTGGCTGATTTTACACTCTTGGCTGAATAAACCTGTCTTATAAGTCTAAGTTTTACAGTACTTTGAGAATCTAATTCTGAGTTTTATAGAATGTTGTTCTGGAAGGACTTTCAGGAAACCATTTAGTATAACTGCTTTCTTTTAGTACAAGGTGAAGGAACCTGCCCAAGATTATATAGTCAGCACCCAAACTGAGTCCAACAGACTCTTTTCATCATGATTTTTTCTTTCGAAAAACTGGTGGTGGAAGAACGCATGAAAACGCCGAACTTAAGTGAGACCTTGGTTTTGAAAATTTTCATTGTCTTCTTCTTGCAAGAATGTACTTAGGGGTTTGGTTTTTGAATTGCTAGCTGTCAGAAGGTGAGATGATTTCAAATCAAGGCTAATCAAAGAAACACTGTTTTGGGTCACAAAGGGGCTATTTCTGCTCTTAATTTAGGAATTGAAAACTCCCAAGGATATGAAAAGCCTGCTTTTTAACCTATTCCTGACCATGTAAATGTTTCAGCTTTTCCCTGGACTGCGAGGGACTCCAAAGGCTAATAAAGAATGCTATTCAAATCCAAAGTATTCAGACACACACACACACATACACACACATGTGCACATGAATGCACACACACACACAACTGCCAGAGAGATGCAAGAGTTAATTAGCAGTTTCCAAAGAATGTTTTTGTTTATTCATTCAGACTGTAAAGTGTCCTCAGTTTCACAACAGAGATTAGCAAATAAAGCATTAACTGCACTTCAATAAAACATAATACAAACCAGGATGCTTTAACCTAAAGCCAGAAGTGACTGTCAGAACAGCAGAATTTGTCGAATTTTCCTATGTACTTTTCACCAAACTTAGAGTTCTAGATCCTCAGGACCAATTGTTTCAATTGCAATTTGCAGCAGTTCCTTCTCCTGTTGCTCCAGTCAACTAGCTCAGTTAAATCCCTAGAACAGTGAATAAGGGGGTCAATTTCAAATCAAAATTTAAACCAAAGCTAAAATGAGAGGAAAACAAAACAACACCGCCAGGATCCGACAGCGGAATAGCAAAGATCAACCTGTCACAAGGGCAGAAGGGCCCCTGGGGCTGTGCGGACAAGGAATTAAAACAGCCGGGGCTGCCACTCCCTCCTGCGCAACAGCACACAGCCTGCACACCCCGCTGCCCTTTGCATACAGTGTGGCTCCAAGATTTTGCCTGCATTTCAGTAATTTGCCAATAGCTGTGGGGCAGCTGAAGCTAGAATGAAGCCCGAAGTCATTCAGTTTTCTCGCCTCACACCCCTGTCCCCGCTCTGTCCTCTCTTACCAAGTATCTACCCAAAGGTATGCACACACACACAACCACATACACACAAAATTGACCAGATATCCCCCCAAAAATCTTATTCCCAGATAACCACAATTGCTCCTTACATACTCAAAACAGCCAACCAGAAATTCCTTTATTTGTGGAGTTTCCAAACTGCTATTAACATGCACACATCCAATACCAACTATAAAATTATACCCACAATGTTTGATTGACTGTAAAGTTTAAGTTCTTTCACCTCTCTTAGATGCTAAGTTACCTAGCGAGGAAAACTCTAGGCTACATTTATTGTTATCCTCCCTACTCACCTGAGTTATCTCAGGAGCTCTGCTGCTGCTTCTGCTGGTACCACTGCTCTTAGCCAGGTGACTTCGCTAAGTCTGTTCAGTCAGTGCAGTGGAACAAAGATTCTGGCTTTCTTAACCTGAAAACTATTTGAGCTGTACCAATCCCCACTCACAGGGGGAGGCGCCTTGCAGCAACTTCAGGAGACTTTGCCCCGCCCAGCATTCAGAAACTGATCCTGAGTCATGAGGAAAATCTGGAAGGCACCCCTGCCAGATGTGCAGATGGGATGCCCACTCCAGGTCCACCCACCAGCAAACTGGAAAACTCAGAAAGCCACGTTTGAAAGGTCTTTCTGTTCCAAAGAGAAACAGGACTTTCAGGGAGAGGATCTGCTAGGTTTCTGACTTCTGTCCCAGAATTAATACGGCAGACATGGATATTACTCGAGAGAGGACATGCAGAGAAAAATATTAGCATGTTGGCAAAGTTCTTATGAGCTAGGCTGCAGACATGGCCCTTGTAGAAATATCTGATAGTGGTGAGGACTTCAGCAAATGAGTTGGAGTGAAAGAGTGCCTAATGAGCTGCAGGAAAGAAAAGGTCAGTTTGTGAAGGAGCAGGTATCATTTGGCCAAGGACAGAGAGAAGGAAGGCAGTAGAGTGTGATTCCATGGTAGCTGTAAAAAGCCTAATTTCTAGCAACAGCATTACTGAGATTCTGCCAAGCAGTGCTAGATGAAAAGCAGAGCAAATAACTATGTTTGCTGTGAAAGGCCATCCAGGAGCCTTCAGTGGGGAGCTCAGACCCCCATTAAAACTATGCTACATCTCAGCCAAGTCCTGTTACTTTAGTCTTGAGACATTCACTGGGACACAATTCTGGGGATGTGATTCTCAAGTTGTTTTGCTAGTTTCATGCTCACAGACTATGAAAGCTCCCATCTCATTCACCAGCTTTCCGCATCAGCGTGGTATTCATCTTTAACATGAAATTGATACCCTTTGCCCTGATCCCTGCAAAAACCCTGCTTCTGGCTAGTTGAAGATCTAAGAGATAGTGAGAAGGACTGGAGGGAGGGAAGGAAGGAGAAGGAGAGGGAGAAGAGAAGAAACAGAATACATGAGCAAGGTAGAGCCTAACAAGGAAGGAAATGTGCTCTTCATTTCGCTGTCCCATACCAATTTGTTCAAAAAACAGACCTGCGTATTCATGTAGCTCAGTCTCTGAAATCTCCCCCTTGACATTGCCCTACAGCTATCTCTATGCCCTCTATGCCAACATGGAAATCAAGCTAGAGTTAGGAGGCAAAACAACATTCTACAGCCCAAGAGAATTGAAATTTTAAATACTGGTACCCACGTTGGCTCAAGCACGAGTAATTTCTTAACCAAATATTTCAGACGCTGTAGAATTTTGGCTTTGAAAGCAGGGGAAAATATTTTGGCTAACCTCATCTTCAGACATCTTTTCAACCTGCATAACTTTTAAATAAGTAGGAAATCATAAAATCTGCTAATTAGAAGGACACCTAGAAACTGTATCTACCTTCCTGGTCAGTGCAGAAGTATCTTCCTGATAATTTGGAAAACTTCCCCTTCCATAAAGAAATTTATTCCATCTTTGAGCATTCCCTAGTAGTTAAAAGCATCTTCTTTAGATTGAGTAAAATTAACTTCACATACGTTATTTCGATTTCCTTTTTATATGGCCATCCACTAGAATATCTGTAGCATCACCCCAAATCGTTATTCCTCTGAGATAAATATCCACAGTTCTTTTAAACCATTTCTCATAGGATATGATTTCCAGATCTTTTGCCAGTCTAGTTGTCTTTTGAGCATAAACCTGCTCAGTGTGTAGCTTGTAGCTTAATTAAAACCCTCTGTGGTTTCTTGCATGAATTACTCTTGTGTGGTTGATTCTATGCTTGTACAACTGACTTTTAATTTTACTTAGATTCTGGGCTGTGTAATCATTATATTGTTTCGTTCAATCTATACTCTTTCTCAACCCCCTCTTGTTTACATTTTTGCACCCTGAAGAGCCTTTTTTAGACATTTTTTTCTGACTACATTTCCTAAATATTTTGATACCACAGACGTATTCTAAATAGGTTTATGTGCTACACATATATCTGTATTCTATTTATAAAAAAGAATATTTTCACCCTCCAAGAACCAATTTTTGCCCTCAAAGGCAATATCACCCCTTGTGAACATGCAGACCCTACACTACAAAGGTTTTCTTACCTGCATATTTGATGAGCCAGGCTAATAAAAGTATTAAGACAAAGTACAGTACAGAATATTGCAGAATAATCTTAGAGTATTTCTCTTACTAATGATCACTTTTCATACGTATTTTCAAACTTAAAACAATCCATATAACCTCAACTACCACTCAGCTCCTGTTTTCCATCTTCTCTATCTAATGAGGATGCATAAGGTTTTTTCAAATGTCTTACATTTTATGCTTTGATATTTCTGTCATCCCCCCCACACACACACTTCTAGATACCCTTTCAAAAAAGAAATGGGCTTAGTGAGCCATGATTTGCTTTTAGTGATCTCATGCTTACCCCTAGTGATTTCAAAGCCTCAAAAATGATCTGCTTACTAGTGCATTTTATGCTTCCACCAAGGATCAGTGGCATGTTCACTGGTCATCAGTTTCCAAAATCTATATTGTACACCTCCAATATCGCCACACTGTTTGACTAAAAATTATGATATGTACTTGCATCTCTCATATCTTCCTTTTGCCATAATCCCCTCAAATGTTACCAAGACTGGTGCTGGGATCACATCACTATGTTCACTCAGTAGCCTCAGATATAATTTGTCTAGGCTTGGAAACTTGAACTCATTGAAGGCTGCTAAGTACCCCTTTATTACCTCTTCATCTATCTTAATCTTTAATTATCTTTCCAGTTCAAAGATTATGTTCCTTGATGGGGAGATTAAGTAACTTGCCCAAAGTCACAGTCTTAGTAAATGTGCGGAACCGGGATTTAAATCCCACTCTGACTCTAAAGTCTGGCTCTTGACCATAATTCCATGTAGTTTTCAGTTCCCCAGTGAGTGTGGAGCTAGCTCCAAAGAGGGAGGGAGGCCCTCTCCTTTAACAGTATTCAAAGTAGGCTTCATCAAAGAGGTGAACTTTGAAGGGAATCTTGAAAAATAACTATAATTCCAATAGGAAGAAAGAAGTGATATTTGTATATGTTGAGGATAGTAACGGAGGCTTCTGAGCATCAGTGTCACCCCAGAAAGGGGAAGTAATGAATAATAATAAAGCATCTTGGGTCTGCCTCATAATCTATTTAGTGGGTCATTATGAACATTGAGACCATAAATGGTCAAAAGAGAGCCAGAGTGTTCCTGCCTTCCTTTAAAGGCTATTCACTCAAGTCCTCCTGTTTATTAGTTATATATCCTCCACACGGCACAGTCCTCCTGCTCTTTGTTTTTCAGCTCTGTAAAGTAGGAGTACTAATAAGCCTATTTTAGAAAGTTATGTTGAGGATTAAATGAGCTAGTTAATACATGTAAAATACACAGAACAGTGTCTGGCATATAAATGAGGTTCAACAAATTTTACTTGCTCTCATTATTGCCGGGATTCATTTGTTCATTCAACAAGCATTTACTGAGCTCCTATTTTGTGTCACATCCTATGCAAAATGCTGGGCCTATGTTTGTGAGCAATAAGAAACATGAGCTAAGCCCTCAATGAATTAAAGATCAACAATGAATTAACTTCAAGGAAGTTTTCAGTCTGCATTGCTTTTCTGTCCATTATCTGAGTAGAGTGGCACATTTACCTCATTTTAAACTGACTTCTTCAAAAAGTCTGTGGTGATAGTGGGAAGAAGCCATTTAATCCAACAGCCTGGGATTTATGGAGCAAGTTCACAACTTCCCTTTCCAAGGTGCTATATATTCGGATTAATTCCACCTCAGCATTCAGTGGAGTTGGGTTCTGTTCCTTTGCTTTTTCCAGCTTTATGCCAAGTCAAATTATTTCTCCTACTTTAGGCTTTTTCCAAGACTCTAAAATTGAGTTCCTTTGCAAAGGAGAGGCAGTTGCACCTGGTGTTCCAGTGGTGGTGAACTTTGAAGGTGAATGCTAGTGTAATATAGCTCAGCAGCGTGGAACACTCCCATTTGGTTTTGGGCAGCTAGCTACAATCCCCAACTCTTTAGAATTTACAACCCCCCAAAGACCAGTAAAAGTGTGAACAGAAGCCTCTAAGAGGATGGACTGCCAGTTTCCAAACCAAAGAGTCTTGGGCCAGTATGGGATGGTGTTCAACCAATATTTTGGGAAGGAGTAGATTGGGTGTCTTCCTTGCCAGCCTGCTTAAAAAGTATGCTGCACAGGGCCATCAATAGAACCTCCTCTAGTCAGGGGAAGCAATTCTTTTGCCTTGTCATCTAGAGGGCTCTGGTTTCCCAGTATTAGTCAAAAGAAACCTCTGTCCTCAGTTGCTGAAGTAAATGATTAGCATGGTTGATAATCTATGATTATATGACATCCGCACTACTTTGCTTGTTCATCAAGGCCCTTTGTCCACCAAGGAATTGGTTTCCACACTTCTTGGCACTACTCTATCTAAATATGTGTCCCATTTCTCAGAGCTAGACACAATTTTCAGGAACACAACCACCTTTGGGCTAGTGCTAAGGTAGGAAACTCAGAGCTAAGAAGTTTGGGTGGGGATGATGCTTTAGAAACAGATGTCATCCAAATCTTAGACATAAATTGTAGCTGAGGAGGGTAAACTCAAAAGCATTGAGTTTTGGGCACCATGAGAGAGTAGGCAAAGCTACAGATAGAGGAAAATGGAATTACTGGTCAACTGAAGTGATCTAGAACTCACAAGAGCAGAAAGCATCATATATAAGGTAGGATGGAGCCAAATAATACCATACAAAGGTGAGGAACACAGCCAGAGCTCAGGTGGTCATTTTAAGTGGACGTTGGATCCCTGGCATAACTAAACCCTACCTCCACATTTCTACTCCAGATTTCCCTTTACCATGACTTTTTTCTCACGTCTCCATCTACTCAGGTCTTGCTTATTCTTTGATTCTTCAATTTTACTT